TAAATACAACCCTACCACTCAGCGCTTCAAAAGGGGCTAGCAAAGCTTGTGAAAGGGGCTGAGGCCTAGGCAACATTAGCTGTTCAGCTACAACGAGAATTCGATTCCACACAAGCTATTATGGGGGCACTCCACGCTAGATACGACGCATCTCGTCGTCATTTACGTTTTACCGGTATCATTCATTCATCCCAAGTCAAAGAGATGAAACGAAAAGAGTATAAATTGAGTGAAAAAGCCGATCAAGAAAAAACGAAGCGGAAGTGGAAGAAGGTGTTGATTGAAATCAGGAAGCATGGAAGGGCCAAAAACGTCGTGGGGATCTATAACTTTGTACTCTAGTAGTAAATTTGCCATCGAATTTGTTTCTTATTTTTAAATAATTATTTTACTATTAAATAAGGTAGTAAGTGGTGGTTCTACAGTAGTAAAATGTATGAAAAAACCGACGTTTGGGTGATCACCTACGAATGGATGGCGGACCCTCGCTTGCGGGGGGGTCCGTATTTTTTGAAAAAAAACTTCAGGGGCTGTTTAGTAGGTCTTAGAGAAAGATTTAAACGTCACTATATCCTAGTTAACCGCCTATATTAGTTAGCTCTAGGGTAGGTATAGCAGCTTCGAATATAAGTCACGTTTACGGTTCTCTTTAATTATAGTAGCTTCTTTAGCAAGCTATATAAATTTAGTAAGGAAATCGGTGAAGTTATCCTTTGGCTTTATCATCAATTTATGGTATACGGTGTAGGCTTCGGCACGTCGATTCAGATTCGCGAATACAGTCTTTAGATAGATAATCATATCCTCGGCGTCCACGTATAGGTTACTTAAATCGGAACTTATTCGGGGAGCGATATATAGCTAAGTGTTACGCACTGCCTAACTGGTCACAGTTATGTTGGAGCTTCCCTGATTATACTTGCCTGTGCTGATCCTCCAACGTCAACGATCTGCCTCTCAACCGAGCTGTTGCTGCGCACAGTCTTATTCCAGCCTAAGTCCTTTTGAGGGTATCGAGGAACGATGCCAGGTAGAGCGCCGAGTAGATCTATACCGCAGTATTGGTCTGCTCGTAGGTGTTGTCAAGTGATAATATAGTTAATGAGTCAACGTGGTTCCAAAGGTAAACACAAGTAACAATGTAGGATTGAAGACGAAGAACTAAACTAAGTACATGATGGAGTGTCCTTATATCTCTGTCGAGATGTGTGGTGCCACCATGAGATAGGTACAAATGCCTCAATAGTGCCACCTCTGAAGCACCAAACGTTTCAGAGTTCTTCGCTTCCTACTCCCTGGGTGACTCCCCTGGAGTCACTGCTGGGGCCACGGTCACGTGATGTCCTTGTTGTCCCAAAGGGTGTTGCTGATGTATCGAGGTACATACACACCAGACTTTAGTCCAAGTCAGGGTGGATCATGCTCTTGCTCAGTGAGCATGATCGGGACTTCCTTTTCCTTCGATACCTGTGAACGCCAGTGTATACAGTGTTGCACGTGATCTGCTGACAGATAGATCTATTGGCTCTTGGTGGCCCATCTGTGTACCCGGTGGGGCACCACTGATTGGTGACGGGGTAGGTCCGTAACACTAAGCTTTGCCTTCACAACTATATATAGAGCTTACGGTGTATGGGTAATGCTTTATCGCCCTTATAACCGATTGACTCGATCATAATATCGCTTTCAACTCTTTCGGCCTAAAGAACAGTGACCTCGTCTTCGAGTTCACGAATCCTTTCCTTTAACTTCTAGTTTTCTCGAACGAGTTTATGAAATCGCTCTTTCGTTAGAGTCTTATACAGTCGTTCACGCACAGAGGATCCCTCTCTAGCGTGATCTATATTCACCAGTATTAACTAGTCTCTGCGATTCGGGGGTCGGGGTATTCGGGTCGAGGGCAGAGACAATCTCCTGCTTAACGGATTTATCTTTAGGCAAATCAGTAACCGGCTGCTTACTGTCGGAAGGAAAGATTTTTTTTAGGAGGATTAGTCTTTCTTATCATCTATGGAATGGCAATTAGGACGGAGTTAAATGACCGCCTCTCGGAGGCGGTCAGTATAGCCGTCGGGCTAGGACTATATATTCCTACCCTTTGTGTTTTACTAGTTTCCGCAAGGAATCCATCCCAGGAGTTCAGTTAATCTCTTTCACCCATTAGTTTGCTTTAAGTCCTTTGGATTTTCCCTTCTGTCAGAAATCAGTAAAGTGGTCTGTCTGGAAGGCATCAGGCAAAAATCTCTAGAGGGGAAGCTAACTCGCTGAGGGTGGGTTAGGTTTCGGCCTAACAGAGATCTTGGTGGTTCCAGAGGGGGACTTTCTAACGCTGCTTGAAGTGTTCCTTCTTATGTTTTTTTTAATCAAACAGCGATCCGGTTAATAGACGATCAGCCAACCTTATCGAGTGGGAGTCTATTAAAGACGAAACTCGATTCTGGGACAATCTAGAAGCTAGTCGAAGAAATCGGTGCTAATCTAGAGTTATCATCTCTCTCTAACTGTGGATACCTAGCGGCTGCTAGGCAAGCGCTATAAGGGTTAATTATCATAGAGGATCCTTCCCATAGAGGGCTAGCTAAGTTATTACGACACCGGGTTAGTCCTAAGAGGAAGGCGATGATCGTTGTTCCTCCTAATTTCCCCTCAATAGAATACTATTAATAAGAATATACCTTAAATCATCAAAAGGTCTACTCGTATCAATCTAACGAATCTAAGGACGAGGATCGAGTTATGCCGACGTCCTTCCGGGTAAAGACCTTTAAGGGTCTTTAAGACGGCTTCGAAGATCTAGTGGATTTTATCGAAGATATCGAGTAGCTATAGAAAGAGATCACGCCCGTGAGACTATAGCACTAAAAGTAGCTAGGAAATAATCCAACAAGAGCGATAATGTAGCGAATGCCATCGAAGAGAGAATCCTATAAGATAAGAAAGATCGAGAATGCCGTCTACTCTTCCGTTAGAATGTTAGTGGTAGGGCGGATATATAGTATAACTAACTATCTTAACCGAGACACTCGCTAGGACTAGAGGAAGCTTCGAGCTAGTTATCTTAAAAGATATCGTCTTCTAGAGGAAGATCCGGTGGCAAAAATCTCACGAATAGAAACTTGACACGACGGAATAAAGTAGGCTCGTGATAAAACTATCACTGAATACCTAGAACGAGCGGATGATTTCTACGCTTACTGTAGGCCCGAGAAAGTATATCTCGGGGTGAAAGTGGTATAAGGGCTAAAGGATATTTATAAGCGTGAAATAGTCCTATTCTACCTCCGTTAGAAAAATGAGATAGGATATATTGCGGCTGGGAAACTGATTGTGGACGCATTCTCTAGGGTTAATAACCTATTTATTAGAGACAAACCTATGTAGAAGAAAGAATTATCGTTTGAAGATATGATCCGAGATACGATACGGGAAGTGGTGAAAGGGTTAAAACATCTAATGCTTAAATGGATGAGAATGACTATTTGCACACCCCTTAGCGTCATTTTTTGCTATCTGCACACCTTTAGTCCTTTTTAGGTATAGCCTTTCTTGGCCAACCGTTTGTCATCATTTGTGTAATTTAATATGGTATCCGCATAGTAAATGACACCCTCATCACCTGACTCTTGGCCACATATAACCCTACACCAAAATGCTTAGCCAAGATCATGTGCCTGCTCCACAATTCACATCGCAGAGTAACAATTCCACCATACCATATTTATTTTTTGAAGCTATTCCCAGATCTCATTATGGATCCTTACTATAATACTCCTCCCCTGCCTACCGAAGCATATGAACCATGGGAAT